CTGGTATGCTCGACGCAGCCGGTGAAACCAAAGGTGTAGTTAATAAGCACTCCATAACTACTCTTGCGAGTTGCGGTTGTTGCTCAAACATTACTTTGAGTTGATCTGCCCCCATATTGCGTCGTCAGATACGTTGTTTTGATAACGCAGCGGGCAAACGATAATGTGGGTGGACCGTAACGATATTCGCTCCCAAGCTATGTTGCCTGATCCTGATTCCTAGTATAGCGGAATAGTTTGAAGAGGAAACCTTGGACCCAACTGTAATGCTCCGAACAACAGGGGTTTTACAGAAAATTGACACATACATATCTATCCTTAGTTTGACTTTGAAAAATGGCGGAAGTTCGTTAGCACAAAGGTAGTTTTTGGGGACATTGATATCCTCAACACCTTCGTTTGTGGTTTTTTCACTGCCCTAGCGGAACCTCTCACATTGCAATTCATCCAAGATGCAAGCCCGTTGCCATGACGTCAACACGACATTCTATTCTACAGACGACCAGGTTCTCATTGATTTTGATCATCATCTTCATCATCGACAGCATGACGTCAGCGCTGATGCTTTGGTGCCATACATTGCTTCTGAAGTAGAGCACTTACTCGATCAACAAATCCATAAATCCTCGAAGTCCGTATGGAGATCGCAAGTGCTCGTCAGGACGAATGAGCAGCAGAATAAACGAATGATGGTTGATTACCAAATTGTGCAACTGGATATGAGTAGTAAATCAGCTCACGTCTTCAGCACGCGTGGTATTGACAGTGCTTATCATCAAATACCCACTGAGGGAAGTGATAGAAGCTACACGGCTTCTGAGGCTATCCGTAGATTTCCCTTAATTACGTTTGCAGTGATGAATAGAGTGGCGTGCTTTCAAAAGTTATGCATGACATAATACCCGCCGAAAGACTCACCGGGACATATACCTATGTGGATTATCTTACCATTAGTGGAAAGTATGAACAAGACAATCGAAATTTCCAGCGTCTTCTCGCCTTGGCACAAAAATATGGCCTTTAGTTAAATCACGATAAGAGCACAATTTCCACCACTAAACTCAGACTCCTTGGCTATGAAATCATGGAAGGCATCATCAAGCCAGACCCTGGTCGTTTCAGAGACTTGCAAGAACTTCCCGTTCCGGCGGACATGAAATCCCAGGAACGTCTAGGTGGCTTGTTCGCGTACTACTCCCGTTGGATAAGCCGTTTCTCAGAAAATCTATCCAACCACTCACAATACAACCTGTTATAAAAGCGTCTGAAAGTCTTAAGGGAGCTCATGGGTGCAGCAGTGGTTGCTGTCGATCCGACCATGTATCCGATACTGGACGTTGATGCTTCTGATGTGGTTATTTCCGTTACACTGAACCAAAGTGGCACACTCCTCACATTCTTCCCAAGTACACCGTCTGGTAGTGAAAAACATTCTGCCATTGAACAATAAGCATTGCAATTATCGAAGCAGTGCGATTGGAAACTACCTATTTAGTACCCATTTAAAGATTGTAACCGATCAGCGGTCCGTTGCGTCCATGTTTTCAACACGGCAAAAAAGGGAAATAAAAATAACAAAATTCGATAGCGGATGGAACTATCGCCTTCTTGGTGTAATCCACAGACCAGATACCGAAAACGAAGCCACTGATAAGCTCTCTTGGAGCGTCTGTAAGATAGTATAAAGATACTCTTTCCACTGCAAGATCCTCTCGGTGCCTAGCTACCACGCCACCCGAATGAAATTCGAGGGTTGGAATACTACCAGGTTCCTCACACCTAGATCAGAGAAAGTCAAGATGTGAATTCTTCACCTCATCTGGATCTAAAACACTCACACGTAACTCCGTGCCATGCTGGAGCAACATGTATGACTCATTTCACCCGTGTCAAGGACCTCCCGTTTCCCCTAGCTGTCCGGAGGCCAACCGTCCCTAATAACCTAACATCACATCACTTGGACGGATGTGTCACTTGCAGGACACGGACCAAACGAAGGCGTGCCCTGATTAGTCAGAATGCCAACCAATCCCGAGTCGAGCATCTTTGACTCGACACTTCTCGCCCCCTCACGGAGATTCTGGCACGACTTGTGGAACACTCTGTGACTACCCTATAAATACAGTTGTAGTAATTTTCCTTGGTCTCCGTTAAGAGACAGCCAAGGGACCGATACAGAGTTGCACGAGCACAACACCAGAGGAAACCCGACTTTTCATTAAGCAGTGTAATGTGTGTGCGAAGTTAAACCCACATTTCTTCAAGCCATCTGGTGGTACAGTTATTAAAGCTACACAAGTCTTTTGAACACTTAAGCATTGACTTCAAATGACCACTGCCTTTAAGGACCTGAAATAAATATCCACTGATGGTCGTGAACGAGTATTTCTGTTTTCCGGTTGCTTATCTGTGTCCAAATACAAGTTGCATAACTAACGGTGGAAACGACTATTCCGTGCGCAACAAAGGGGTCTGGTATTACTCAACTATAAAACGAACTCCCGTGAACATTTATTCCAGGGGGAGGTAGGCAAATGTATATTTGCTGTGTTTTCCTCACAGTTTCATCATTCATTGTTAAATCGCGTTTTCTGGTTTTAGCCCAGTGTCAGATTTTTGAATGAATAAAGCCTAGCTTCTGGGGCATCCGCCTTTTTCGTTCTTTCTCTGATTTTCACCGCTCTCTATTGGTCAAAACAGTAGCACCTAAATTTTGCGTAACATTATTCCATTCTGCCACGTTAGTCTGTTCACTTCTAGGTGGCATCGTACACGCCGGCTGAATTGTTTTTTTCTGAACTAGCATGAATACGGTCTATTCACGAAAGCTAATGGGTATGCTGTGAGGAGGAATGGGATTAGTCTTGCCTCATACCAAATACAATTCTGGCTTTCGAAACTCATACGCTGACCTCGTCTGCCACATTGCTTCATAGTATGTGCAACTTCCGAGATACGTATCTTGTTCCACTACTTGATTAGTGCCAATACCTGAGTTCTCAGGCATGTTCAAAAACGACATCTTGCAGCATGACTTCACTACGTGGTCGCGTAGCATACCCCGATTGACTGGATGACCTCGGTCGGCCTTTTTTACCAATGCTTGCGCTTTCTGCTCTTTTTCAAAAATTTGAACAATATCGTCTGCATATTCGAGACCTTCAAGGTCCTGGCTCGGAAAGATGTGAATACCTATGGTTCGGAAACTTTCCAGTGTTTATCAATAACGAATTTGAACAAAGATGTAGACAGTGTACACGCCTGTCGGACACCACCACTTGTAAGAAAGCCTTTGGAGAGTCCCTCCGCACACTCGCGCACCCATAAGCATGTATGTATTCACATATTCACGAACTTCTGTGACATACCCTGTGTCTCGAGCGTGTTGAGAGGACCGAACCTATTGACAATCGCACGCACTCTTGACGTCAAGGTACACCATGCCGTACACATATCGCTGCTTCAAAACTTGACGGAGTGTGAAGATGTGGTTCACATGGCCACTCTCCGGCCGAAATCCTACATGCCCGTCTTCATGCACTTTCGTAAGACAACGTAAAATGAGCGAAACAGTCAGGTTACATGAGTGGTTGTGCTCATTCCGTTATGACCGTCACACCACTGCACGCACCTATTTTGAAAATAGACACCACTACCGACTTTACCCAGTTAATCGAAGTAGCCTCTTTTTGCAAGATAGAGGTAGGTAGGCTAGACAAGCATCTGCTGAAAATTTCACCTCCATCTTTGAACACAGCTGGTGGAAGTTCATCGGGGCCAGCAGCTCGGTGACATTTGATGGCATTCATTATTTCCGATGCTATCGGGGGGTTCAAGATTCACTGTCCAAGGCTGTCGTGCAGGTTGGGGATTCAGCTGGTCAACTCTGGGTGGTTAGTTGAACTGGTCTCGAAAATTTTCAGTCCAACAATCCAGGCTCGAGATCCAATGCCCAGGCCTGGTTAGTTGAGCCATTGCGTTAGCGAAGCGCTCAACATCTTGTAGGGTTGCGGACAGTACCTTCCACTGAGAGTCAACATCAGAAGACGTCTTGTCCGAAAGGGAATGGCGGTTTCACATCAGGGTTCGAAAATTTTCTCAGCGGCCACCCTAGGTGTGTTACACCTTGCGCGCCTCTGAAGAACAAAGGACTGTCAGACTGCTCACCAGAACTCCATAACCTCCTTCGAAGGCATCGGGGTTAAGGCCACCTATACAGGGTGCCTTATCGTTTTGAAGGTTTGATGTCGCGCGTTGGGTTTCTGTTTCTGATGGCGTGCTGGTATCGATATGTCGCACACGCTGTTCGGGTTCTTCCAGAGGTTTTTGTGAACGATGCCAGCAGAGTTGCCGTTTAGCACGTCGCTCAACACGATGGCTCTGTGTATGAAGTGCCGCTGACACCTGTCCTCTTTTGGCGGGTTGGTCGAACCAGGTGGAATAGGGTGCGTTTGGCTCATGCGGCGAATGCCACCATCTCCTGGACCTCCTTCAGGCTCAAGTTCAAAAGAGCATCTGTGCTTAGCTCTGTATAATATCTGACTAAGTGCTGCAAATGTAGGCAACTCGAGTGTTTGGTGCCTTAGTTCACCCTCTTTGCCCAATTTCTTACTATTGTGGGGCTTTATTCAAATGAACTGATATAACTGTATGGCAGTGAAGCACCAGTGTTCCCATCTAGTTTTGCTGTCAGTGATGTGATATGATGATGACGGTAGCCGGTATTTTCAATCTACCTTGAATAATTCTTTACATATCATTTGTCACGGTCCAACTTCGTTGCATGGGTCCGAGATAACTCAATGGTCAGGGCGCGAACTTGCTCACTGGAAGGTCCCTGGTTCGAACCCATCTTTTGTTTCTTGACTACTCCTGTCTATGCTTGAGCAATCTGGTAGTATCCCAACCGTCGTGTTTCCTTTCGCTGGTATGACAGCTAGGCACTGAAACAGTGTTGCGGCTGGACGATTATGATCATTCTTGTTGTACATTCTTTCCAGCACACCTCAATTCTGCACTCGCAAACTAAAAGGCAGAGACGTATAAGTGTTCATACCACCTCCTTTTGCTGATAATACCGTTTCCAAGGAAACCATTCCAGATTGCCTTGCCAGTCAAACAACCGTAAGTTTTACCGTTAAATGTGTTGTCTGTGTTCCGTCTTCAAATGATCTTTAATAGGTGTTTTCTGATTAAGGCCTGTCATTCAGGTTTCTGCCAGTTAGCGCTGCATTGCAGTTCACCTGGTTGGTACAGGCACAAGGAAGGTGGTCCTCTTGTTTTCTCTGTCTCATTTACTGTTGTCGGAGAGTGAACATTCAGTTTCCTTTTGACGAAGTGATATTTAGCAGCACAGGAATTTTTGCAGAGACAAGATACTACACACTTCTGGTTACACTTCCGATATGATTGCCTCTGTTAAGCGACCCCATAAGTTAGTTGTCGATACGATTCACGTAGGTAACTAGATGCGTCCTGAACGCCCGACGGAACCGAGATTACGTACTTCTCATGACACGACCTATCATGAAACTTTGTCCCCGCTCTTATGTTAGTAGTAAATGGAGTACCTCCGAGGTGACATGTCCAGGAGGTACTATCATGCCACAGTTTGCATACTTATACCGACGCTCTCTCTCAGCGTTTCGGGGTTAAGCTGCTACCTTAAAACAACGGCCTCGAAGGGACGGGCTCAGCGTTTGACTAACTTTTACTTAAAGGCTCTCAGTTTTTCTTTTTTATTATTCGCTAGAGTAGCTTACCCGGGACAAGAAAGATTATTATTCGTAGAGTACCTTACCCGGGACAAGAAAGACCGTACAGTTAGGGTCTTTCTATAAGATTAACAGATGGTCAAATGCACGAGCCAAACTATGAGGAGGAAAACGTAGGCTGATATGTTTGAATAGGGCATACAGTGAAGCACCGTTGAGGTTGGAGTGGATAAACGTTAACCTTGTTCTTGAAAAATTGAATGTTATTGAAAGTGCAGGAAGTGAATTCTAAAGACTGAATTATGGAAGACTGCAACTTGACACAGGCTGCAAAAGAATTATAGACTCATCGGGCGACTGGTGATCGTGGCATTGAGACGTTTGACTCATCTTGATAGCACTGATGAGCTGACAATGCAGCTATGTCGATGGAATAGGGTTTTAGGTTGAGTCGAATGTGAATCACTTAGATACACTATCTTCGTTGTGCATTAAAAGCGAAGATTACATAACGAGTAGCACCCAACGTCCGACAGCAGTATTTCGTGTAGGGGTGGTTTTGGGATCGAGTTTTGGGAATGATAAATAAACACGGGTTTAGGGAAATAAAAGACTATCCTTAGACCCAG